AGGATGCAGTTATTTTATTTTATGTGTATACATGTTTTGTCTGCATATGTGTCTTGGATTCCCTGGAACTAGAGATGGTTGTTAATCACCATGAGTATAGAATTAAGCCCAGGTCCTCTGGAAGAACAGCCAGTGATCATAATCAGTAATCAGTAAGCTACCTCTTCCGTCCCATATAATTTGATGTTTACATTTTTGTACTTCTTGTACTTATATATTTTACTAATTAGAAGTTAAAATAATAGAAACAAAAGGCAAGGAAAGAGATCAACGTTCAAGAGCAGGCTGGCTTCAGTCATGTTCCAGAAGGCCAATGTTCACATTCATACTACAGTGAGATGCACTGCTTTTGCCTATCTCTAAATTGCTGCCTGTCTACTGTGTGAACAGCAGCCCTGTGAAGCATTAAACACTACAGTGTTTAAACCCCCATCATTCTTTGCAGCTCACTCTCCATTTTTTGTTCCTACCTCCCTATTCCCCCCATTCATCTTTGTGGACTTTCATCCTTTATTAGCTTTCCAACTCTGACGTACCTGGGCTTTGCATTTAGGCTGGTTATTCAAACTCTCCTAGTATGAAGATTTGATATGCATGCAAATATACATACACACTGGAGGAGGTGGGGGATAAATAATGAAGTATACTTCCAGCTTGTGTCTGAATTCTGAAAAATAGTCCTTAGTATAAGACATTCAAGATGTATTGGTTGAACACACTTGCTTCTTCCCTATCTTCCTTACCTCTAAGATGGCAGTTTTATCCTCCTATTGGATAAAAGTTACGTTCTGTGTCTGGTAAAATAATAAAAGTAATTTCTGCACTTCTGTACCTCTCCATACCTTTTCCCTTACCTCTTTCATTGCATGAACTGTATTGCCACCATTAAATACAAATTAATACTCCATTATTAAGCCACATTTGACTTTCCGTAACCTAAACTCTTCTCCCAGCAGTATTGATTGGTGAGATTTGCCTGTCAATTTAATCATGATCTCTTTCTCCTGTATGAGTATGAATCTATACCAAACTAATTATACCAAATCTCTACTCACTCTGTTTCCATGGATATTCCTGAGACAGTCTATAAGTGAGAAATGAAGGAAAACTCAAGATGGGTAGTAGAGAATCAGGAACAACCATCATTTTTCCCTAGGGAATTGAATGATTACATCTTTGTTAATGACTCCATCTTGCCCTGAACTCAATTTTTCATTACTGTAAATGAGAATAAAGATAGAGCTAAGAAATTCTGAGCATTTATGTGACGGTCTCAAAAATAATCTACCATTTGAATAGATGAGTGTTTCTATGTTAAAGGCTGCATATCTCCCTGATTAACAAGAAATTCACTGGAACTGCTTCTAATTCCTGTTCATTTGCAACATCTGAATAAAAATGCTAAGTTGTACCCAGTCTGTTGGTGAACACTTTCTCACTTCAGCTCCACACATCCTTCTCCACTGTGGTAGCAATGTTGTTCTCTCTCTCTGATCTCCCAGGATGCTTCTGATAGGCTCCTCAAATGCCTCTCTGCCCTTCATCTTTTCCTGCTTGAATTGTTCCAACTGATGCCATGTCACATGAGTAGTCTGCTTAAAATTCCATCTTCTCCACTTCTGACTTCAGAAACTCTCAAGTGCCACAGTGTGGCATTGAGGTCATTCATCAGCTTTCCCTGCCATTATTTCCTACCATTCTCCATGTCACAAACTCAAATATTTGCAAACACATCACATAATGACTCGCTGTGAGCCTTTTCATTAAAGTATTTTCCTTGACTATGATAATTGGTAGCTTTTCATTTATTCAGATAGTGTTCTGGGATTCCATACGGTGCTTTGGGAATAGATCCTAACTACTCTGATTATCATGGGGTTACAGATTCCTCTTATGAGATGTAGTTTTCATAGTGAACTGCGTGACACCAGATATTCAATGCTATGCATATTCAGCTTAATTACACAATGCTTCTGCTTTGACAACACAACTGTAATTTGTATTGCAACAACTTTTTCATGGTGAATAAAACAAGGGGGAAAACTTTTACAAAAACTATTTGGATGCAACGAATTATATATGTGAGCAGATCCTGAGCCGCGACTGAAAAGTTGAAAACAGTGACAGCGTGACTTTAAGTTCAGCTATAGCATGAATTAATAATCCTTAGCCTGTAGTCAAGTGGAAAGGATGGGAAGCAGAGTGATGACTTCAAGAAGAGTCTTCTTGAGTGATCAGAGGGTATTTCACAGATTTGCTAAGACGACAAGCAAAGGGGAGTGTTTGACCGAAGAAATACTGTGTGCAGTGTTTTTCTTCCAGAATAAAAATAAGCCTTGTGGATGAGATGACTTATTTGCCACACCAGCCTGATCAGTGGATCTCAATTCCTAGAACCGTCATAGTGGAGAAGGAGAGAAAAATATGACTAAAAGTGAACTGAGCTGGTGACCCTTGAGATGGGTGATGCCTAGAAGGTAAACAAATATGTATCCATGCTGGAACCTCTTCAGGGAAGACATGTGTGACTGAATGGAGCAGAAATGATATTCAAAGAAAGATTTTGTAAAACATGAACATATGTGATACATAAACCTCATTCATGTCTTGATATCCTAAGAAATATAGCTATGCTTTTGCCAAAGTCCTCTGCACTTAGAGCTACATTTCAGATGACCTGTTGAAAACAAAGAAACATACTATTTTGAAAGAAAAGGCAACTTCAAACAAGTTAGAATGGATGGGAATGAAACCATATTTGCACTAAGAAAAGAATTAGACACAGAGACCCCCCCAATAGCCTAGGTTTTGGAAATAAGACTGTAGAATTTTCTCTCCTAAGTGAAACACATATACCACACATCTTCCTCCCAATGTCCCGAAATCATTGCAGGAGACAGAAAGATTGTAAGAGCCAGAGGCTGTGGATGACCACCAAGAAAAGAGTCTTTGGAAACAGCAGGGCATCTGCACATATTGATTCATGGTGACTATGATAGCATTGTGGCCGTGACGACCTTTACAAGACCTGTGCAAGCCCAAGACACACCAAGTCCCAGCATGGAGAGGGGAAGTGGGTTTGGAATCACATCCCTCGCCTTGGAGCTATCTGCTAGGAAATGCAGAGTCCAATTAATCTAAGTGACACACATCCAAGAGTTTTAGATCAACACAAACTGGTCTTGATGGATTTTGTTTTGTTCTGCATTTATTGTTTTTGCTGTTGTTTTAATGACACAAAATTAGGTAGATGAGGATATTGAAGAGTTGTAGGGGTGAGCAAGATCAAAGTACATTGTGTGGAATTCTCAAAGAACTAATAAATTTAGTACAATCTAAAAGAACAGAAGGAAAATAGAGCCAACAAAGCATCTTAAAATACTGAAAGGTTAAGGGAACAGTCCTAATCCAGAATCTTCTGCTCAGAGAAAGTAAAGGATCAACAAAGGTGTCATTTAATACATGAAAACAGACAGACTACGTCACTAGCAGATATATACTAAAAATGTATGCATTCTGGCTGTGCATATGTCTCCTTGTAATCTGATTATAGAATTTCTGCTGTGCAATTATGTAATCTGTCCTTGAAGTAATCTGATTTGCCATCCCTGTGTCCCTTCTCTAAATGTTTCAAGCAGTTCATTGAGATATGTTTGTATGTTATACTTACATTTAGTATACAACTGAGGGTGACAAGCTAATATATAAAGCATGCTAATTAAAAATTCTCTCTGCAAGGATAGTTAACAACTAATGTACCTCAATCTGGGGAGGTCTCTAGAGACAGTTACTAAGCACTTTAATGTTGCTAATTGTGTTTGCACCTGGGTATTAACTAGTGCGAGTACTCTCTGAAAGAAATCTTAGTATAAATGAATGGTATTTCTTTTTTTCTTTTTTCTTTTTTTTTGAGACAGGGTTTCTCTGTATTGTTTTGGAGGCTGTCCTGGATCTAGCTCTTGTAGACCAGGCTGGCCTCAAACTCACGGAAATCCACCTGCTTCTGCCTCCTGAGTGCTGGGATTATAGGTGAGCGCCTCCAACGCCGGGCATGAATGGTATTTCTTATTATATGGTTATAGGATACATTGTATACTCACTGCTGCATTTTCACAAATGGAATGTAAGTATCAGATTCTCTCTCTCTCTCCCTCTCCCTCTCCCTCTCCCTCCCTCCCTCCCTCCCTCCCTCCCTCTCTCTCTCTCTATATATATATTTATGCAATGATAAAATCAAGGAATATGTATATTCAGTTATGCCTTCACATCTAAATGAAAGGCAGCAATTCCAGAAATCAGAACATTGTTTTGCACACTGCGGAATGAAATTGTGATGTCACATGTGACAAATATGTCCAAGATAAAGGAGAGTCAAGGGTTCACTCAGCTTGCAGGAACCGGTTATGGTGATTAACCTTTTCACCTCCTGTTGGCAAACATTATCTTGTTAAAAGTGGCTGTGGGGTTTGCAGTCATTGCTATGTGGTACCATATTGCCTCATGTATGTTAGGTGAAGAGATGTATGGTTTTCTCACACTGAGATTTATCTTTCGTTACTTTGAAATCTTTCCCTCTGTTGTGTTCTCACATCATCTGGCTAGGAAGAATACAATTTTAAAACCAAATAGCTTTACATTCTTCTATAAAGTACAGCATGCAACATTTTATATACATAAATTGTATCTATCTTTGTTCACAAGTACAGTGTTTGTTAATCTGTTTCATACATACATATAAAATGTATATAAGACAAAGTATTTTAATGTTACAAATCTGTTTCAAGCAGACAAATTAAGGTAACAAAATTGCTTGCTGAGTAAATACACATGAAGTTAATTAGTTAATTAGTTCACAGACTGAGAGCTGACAAGGGTTTTAAAGACACTGGGAGACCATTCCTCCGCCTCAAGCACATTAAATAAATACAACTCAAATGGTTTTGTTTTGTTTTGTTTTTGAGGGAGACAGCACAATCTGTCTTTTATAACATACTTCTTACCTCTGAATGGTACCCAACTCTGATGAAGGCACAAAGTGGATCGAAGGCGCCAGTAGCACAGGTCAGAAGGTGTGTCCTGTTGTAGTGATGCAAAACCCGAACGTAATTGGCACAGTCATTCTAAAGCAGAAGCACAAAGGACAAGTGTGGTTTAGAATGAAACAGATGTTACCATGCCTTTGATCTTTGTGGTCCCTAAACCTTGGAAGGGAGTCTGAATTGGGAGGGAAAGGAAAAGAGACTGGAATAAAGATGAGAAACTGGAAGAAAGGAGCTAGAGTGAGGGACACACCTTTTAATGAGCAGTGAAATGTGAGCTACTTTACAAGTGTTGCCGTTCTGTAAATCATTTTTGCAGTATTCTATCACAGTCGAGGATATAAAACCAATGTTCACAAATGTATTCAATCATAATGACTTGCATTCAATACCCTCCCCACGTATTTAAAGAATTCCCATTGCTGCTATTTTTAAGAACATTATAAACAAGGAACCAGCATAAAATTAGAAATCCAGCAATTACAGAACAGTCTTAATTCTTAAGAAAATATAGCATGTGGACAGTAGGGAATTATAGAAATATTTAATAGTTTGAAAGTTCCTAACTGGCAAAAGTAATTCTGACAAAGATTACATCACAATACCTAAATGCCCTAATAAAGTAAGCATTAAAATATAGTTTCTAATATTTATTTAAAGAAAATTGGAAAGTTATGCCCTCAGATGTAGAAGTCTTCAATGGTACTACAGAGTTTTGATAGACAAAATAATGCTCATAAACTCAAAATCATAAATTCACATGTATGTAATTTGGGGAATATTTAAATATATATGTGACACTAACCACTAGAAACATGTACGCAAAACATCCATACACACAATATAACAACACATCAATTTTTAAATTCATGCTACAGTAACAATGGTATCCTGTTATCTTTTAACTCTACATTAAGATTAGTCTTATAGAGTAATGCATTTATTGTATGCCTTCTTTCTTTTTGAAACATTTCATCTATGTCTTTGAAAATAAATAAAACTTTAGTGATTCAATACTTTATAGGCAACCCAGAATAAAATCTATGATTTGTTTAATCTACAATGAATAGTACTTACTGTGTCTTTTCCTTTCATTATGCATTCTTCGACTTTCGATGGTGGACTAGGCCAGTGTATCTGAAATTGAAGATAAGGCATTGTTATGGCAACTGTGTATAGAAGTAAAACTCACTAAAAACCATTTTGTTTTCTTCTTCAATCCAGTCTATTATTTGCAATCCATTTTGTTCTACTTTCTGAGAAGATAAGTAAACCTTATCTTCTTTGGATAATTGTATTGTAGTGACCAGCCCCCCCCCCCATTTCAGCAGTCGTGACAGGTCAACATGTGCTTGCAGGACCTTGCTGCTCTTGTCCTGATCACTAGGAGGTCAGATGCCCTCCTCGTGGTAAGGAACCAATCAGAAGCTAGCTGGCAGGGCTGTGCTTCATGACTCTGAGTATGCTTTAAGGACAGTGCATAACAGTGATGTGCAGAGCACAGCAACTGCCCTGGGAGGGCCTATGGGCCATAACAACCATTTGACCAATCAACACAGGGCAAGTCATCCTGGAAGCGCACCAATCCTGAAGCTATTTCATACCCCTCGACACTCCCCTTATGCTGCCTTTTAAGTTCCCTGCCTCCAGGTAGCTCAGGGTCTTTCTACAGCCATCCACCATGGTGGATGGATGCAGGGCCCGAGCTAATGGGTTTAGCTCATTAAGTAACTTCAATAAAAGACTCTGCTTTTGCATTGAAATGGGCTTCTTGGTGATTTTGGGGTTCAGAATTTGTGCACAACAGAGTGATTAAGAAACTTCTCTGTAAACTCTCACTTGATGCTGTCTTTTTAGGAATCCCTCGTCTTCCTGGTGGTTCTGTTCAGCTTTCACCTGCAGAACCAGCCACTCTGGCACCTACTCTATTCCATATTTCACCTGCTGGAATCTCTGATTTCCAATTTGTTGGTGAACAAGACTACTCATGGTGTCAAGACAAGCCTCTCCTCGAATTCTTTGAGTTCCTCTCTTATTTTTACCACCAAGCACAGAAAATCAGTGTTCTGGACTCTTAGTAATGTTTGGGCCAAAGGAGAGTATGAAAGTATGGTAAATGCATCACTCAGCAACACGTCACAGACACGCTGCAGCTTTGGACGGCTACACGGCGAGTTTGCAACCAGTCCTGGAAGCCTTGTCTCAGTGCTGCCTTACACAACAAAGAGAGGAATGGGTGGGGCCACTAGGCAGAGAGAATAAATAGAAGGTAAAAAAGGACACCAGGAGCCAACCACCCAGCCACACCGTCAGACATGGAATAAGGATTAAAGAAAGCAATAGAATAGGGAAAGGTGAAAGCCCAGAGACAAAAGGTAGATGGAATAACTGAAATTAAGAAAAACTGGCTAGAAGTAAGCCAAGCTAAGGCCTGGCATTCATAAGAAATGTGTGTGTTTATTGGGAAGCTGGCTGACAGGCCCCCAAAGAGCAAAGGGTGAAAATAAAAACCAGTTATAATTTATGACCTGAGTCAAGATATTGCATAAAAGTGTCAAGGGTATGTGTCCGGGAAGTGAAGCCACAGCTGATGGTGTGTGTCCTGGAAGTGAAGCCACAGCTGATGCCATGTGTCCTGGAAGTGAAGCCACAGCTGATGCTGTGTGCCCTGGAAGTGAAGCTGCAGTATTTATGATCTTTACCTGATCTAGCATTTACATTTGAAAGAAAGCTCATTTCCCTGAGAGATTTTCTACAATCATTTGTAAAACCTTTTCTACCAAGTTGAGAATTATGACCTTACTCTGAATTTATAACTTATTTAAATTCATTTCTGAAAGTAGACTTCATATGCATATATGCATATATACGATATATATTAAACAAAATAAAACTCATTTCAGATGTCTATAATTTCATGACTTCATTTATTGATATAAAGAAATTAGAATACAGATAATCAACAACTTAGAATAATTCCTTCTATCCTTAACATACATATTAGATATGAAATCTCCAAAATGTTACCATCCTTCCTTTTTCACTTTATATTCATTATAAAAAGACGATTTTTTAAATTGTGTTCTGAGAACACAATACCACGTGAATAATTCTCTTATTGTTTCATAGTGATTATTTCCAAACACACTGTTTTGGTGGCGAATCTCAAAGCATTTCTACTTATCTTCTGATGCCATTTATTCCAGACTATCTTTCCAAATAGCTAGGGAAGGCACATATTCAAATTTATGTAAGGGTAAAAGGGAAATTTGTTCAATGATCAGGGAAATGAAGAGTAGGTCTCTCTGGCCAGAGGTAAGACATTTTTGCTGACAGTCTCTCCTGCCGCCTAATGACGGAAGGTTTTCTGAGCTTGAGGTTCCTCAAGTGTAAAACATTCACCATTCACCGTCTAGCAGTGTCTGCTGAGGCTTCTATCCATCCCGGCTGCAGAACCTGACCTGGGACTCTTGCTGCCTGCTGCTTAAGTAACAAGACTCCTTTGTCTCTGGCCCAGGAGGGTAATGCTTTCTGATAGAGTCTCAGAAACCATACCAACAAACTTGCCTTGAATATAATCGAAAACCTCAGGCCCTTCACAATATGGATCAAATAAAAAAGAGTGTACTATGTGGTAATGGTGATAATAAATACCCTTTCTAGAATTTTCAGAATATGTATTGATCCTAGAACAAACGTAAGAAGGGCAATTAACCTGAAGATGACAAATCTAATCTTGCAAGCATGTTTTGCAACATGATTCTCAACAAAGCCTTTCCAGATATCTATCTTTTTCTACTTTGATCCCCTATGGCGTTCTTGTTTGTACAAATACTACAATGATTTATATATGTAATTTTAGCTCTCTTATTAAAATACGAGGAAGTAAGCCTGTTAATATCAGTTGAACCCATGATTTAGACGGTCTATTTATTCAGTGTCTGATGATTGGCACCTTTATCACATTCTTTATAAAGACACTCCGCCTAGGGAACTCATTGTGAACTCTAAGAAATACAGTTCACAGACATGAAAATGCCCCCACAAATGCCAAATGAAAAGTAAAATTTTCCAGCTTTATCAGGGTAGAAATACTATAGCATACTGACAATGGACTAAGTGTTCAAAAACTAGTAGGGCCAGTGTAATCAGACAAAAAGAAACTGATCAAGCCATTCTAATTGGAAAGAGGTTGATGAAATTGGTCTATAAACTCTACAGTAAAGTCCAATCTATGGAGAAATTTTCCTCAAAGCTCTGTTGTTCTAGTTTTGTTAGGAGGGTTTTAATAGTTTAACATGCTCAAGACTTTAGCCAAAAGTTAACTGGGTGTCAAAATAAGACAAAATGACTTCCATAAAAATATAAAGCTACATGTTTAAAGTAATCATGTGTAAATGCTCTGCCAAAGTAGTATGGAAAATAATTTTCTTCATTTGTTTTGGCAGTCAGGATGTCTTTTGGATTTGTTCCACAGTTTAGCATCCAAAGGAGCCATAAAAGTAAGTTATTTGTTCTGCACAAACATTTTTAAAGGCAGTTAAACAACAGGGTGTACTGTTGCTTCCAAACTTTCTGTACTCAAAAAGGTACAAAAAGCAAAAGGTTAAATACACATCATTTTATCACAATCCTTCTTCTGTATAATTCAGTCACCCCACTGCACATCAACAGCCATTTACTGCTCTTTCACATTCAAAAGAGAAAAGTAAGACAAAATATAAATTAAATTATTAAGTCGCTTTTTCTGGGCTCCCTGTTGAGATTAATAATTATACCACTATTAAGGATTTCACAGCTTGCTGTTTTACCACTTTCAGACTTTGTGGGCCAGAAACAAATTAACTAGGATAGGATAACTTAACTGTTAAAAATTTCCTTTCTACTTAAAAATAAATTCAGCTAGCACACATTATCTCCACAGATTATAAACACATGACTATGACCCTATTGTAACTTAATTTAGTGCTATCTTCAAATTTCCAGTATTCTAAGGATAAATGCTTTATAATTTGATTATACATTCTATATTTTGTATCTATGTACAATAGGAACCATTAGTATAAACTCAAATTATGCATGCCATAAATATCATTAAAAGCAAGAAAATATATGTGACTATAACACATTAAAATCATCCAAATGGCTTATAAATGACAGTCCTTAACCTCACGCACATTATCACTCCTAGGGTTTATGCCTTTGCACCTAATTATAATGACTGTCATTATCCAAGCTGTTTATAAGCTAGAATTATGATCTTTTAGACTCTACACAAAAGTTAATACTTGAAAAGCTTATTCTCCAAAGTGTGTGGACTCAAACAGAACCTGCGTATTATACAAACATCAATGACCTGATAAATGCCCCCCCTTTATGTACAAAACTTTCTTAATTGCCATCATTAATGTGAATTGCCCTCTATAATTCACATGCAAATTATATTTTAACATTTTCCTTTTGCTGAATCAAAAACTAAATTCTAAACTACAATATTCATTTTGACCTTGAACAAATGAGAAAATCCTGGGTAGTGTTTCTAAATAGGATTTTCTAATGGCAGTCATATCTACAGAAATCCAAAAATGTGATGTAATTTTAAGCTCAAAATCAGCAAAATAAGCTTAAATTTAGAAACTTGGAGAGCAAAATATTACCAAAGTCTAAAGGTTTATTGCTAAACACTGGTTAAATTATGACCTTCATAAAATACAGTTCATATAAAGAAACTATCTGTTTCTGATTTTTCATAGGAAAGAAAAACAGATTTTATGCTTTAAACAAAAATTGATGTTATCCAGAGGGTAAGTTTGCTTTTCAGGAATTCACAGAAATTGTCTTCCAGACTCAGACTCCAATAGGAGGTAAAGGCAGAACACAGATAACCTGTAACCCGGGTTGGATGCCGGAGCCTCCTGGAGCTGTCAGCCCTGTGGTCAGTAAGGAAAGGTAGTGACCTTCCTTTAAATTCCTTCCACTGTCATTTCTCACACACTGCTATGCTAAACGGCAGATCTGCAAGGCAAGCAAGAACCAAAGGAAGCTACCTCCTTACAAAAGATGCAGGCAGGAGGCCTGGAACCTGAAAACCAGTAGAGAAGGGCTCTGTGGCAAGAGCACAGGCTTCCGGGATGTGA